TGTGCACCAAGTCCATTAGCATGCTTTACTTGGACTATTTGAATGATTTGGCATCATTTATTATGTGATTTCAGTCAATGTTTCATGGTCTTGCACTTGCATTTGTCACTTATTCAATGCGTTGGAGGGTTTCCCCATTTATGTCTTAACACGAGTCATTGTGTATGCCTTCATGCCATAGCTTGCGAGCCATCATTTCAATGTGTTTTTTGGGGTTATTATGCCATGATATAACTCTGATTTTTGTTGCTTAAGTCATCCTATGCTTGGTCTTAATAGGTGTAGTGTAATCTATCTTATTTGCCTTGTATGCATCATGCCTTATGCCCTTCATGCTAGCTTATTTTGGCTTCCTTCCAATCTTGTTTTAGACTTATTTTAACATGTTCTAGGACTATTTTGGGTTTCCTTGATCACATGCTTCATGTTTTGCATACTTGCGGTACAAGTGCTCTTGCTTGCTTCAAGCTTTGAGTACCTTTGCATGCTTCATTTGTGTTGTGTACATGATTTGGCATCATCTAACATGACATTTCAGAGCTTTTAGCATTGCCATGTTCCCACTTCATTCACTCTTTAAGTGTCTTTGAGTGTTGTGCATTGTTGCCTAGTTTATGGCTTAGCTTGTATGCTTGCATGCCTAGGTCTTTGAGCCCTCATCTCAGCATGTGTTAGGTCCATGTTTTGACCTACTTAAGCTCTATTTGTGGTTGGTTCATGCATATTTTCCATGTATTGCATGCCTCCTTTGTAGTCCTCTTTAATACCCTTCATGATTTAGGACCTTTGCATGCTATACTTGTGCTTGTTTGAATGATTTGACATCATTTCTTACTTAATTTCAGTGCATTTAGTGTTGTTACACTTCCATGTTTATCACTCCTTGAGCCCTCTTGAGAGTTGTGCTCTTAGGCCTAGTTGGTTGGCCAATGCATTGTGCATGCTTACCTTCCCTTTTGTGCCTTTATTTTCATCATTATGGCTACTAATTTGGGCATGGCTGAGGCCTATCCATTTTGGTTTAAGTCCATTGTGCATTGTGTATGCCATGTTGTTCGCATGTTGATTCATCGCATTGTGTATGCCAAATTGTTCTTAGCATTGAGCATTGTGCATGCCATTAGCCTTGTTAGGTTGTTCATGTTGCATTGCATGTTTGTATGCTTATTCTTTGCATGTGGTTTGCATGCTTGTATTGTTGCATTGCATGTTTGCCTGCTTGAGTCGCATTGTGCATGCCATGTTATGTGTTGCATTGTGTTTGGAATAGGTGTTAGTCTAAACATGGGAAAAGATAGACGTTTCATACTTGAAGTGATGAAACGTGCCTTAATTTCCAGTCGCCGACGCCCTTGATCATACATGATAGAGTTTTAGGCTTTATGTGTTTACTTGTGCATTCATTTTTATATTGAATTGTGCAACTTCGCCTCTCGGCCATCATGCATGGAAATGCACGATTGCTGTCAAAGAGGGGCAACTGTAGACACCCCATTTTTGATCGACCTTAAGACTCAGACGTCATCGATTGAGCGCTCGGTGATAGTGCATGTTATGCTCGTTTTGAGTTTCTGGAGTTTTGGCCTAGTGCCTTGCCCCCAGGCCTCTTAACTCTTTGTGCTTCAACTTGGTTTGCGGACCAGGCCTTGTTTCTCTTCCCTGAGGGAGGAAGAGGTCTTGTTGACCATCTCTTTGTGGTCGTAGACCACTTTTCATGGTTGTAGACCACTTTTTCCGTTTGGAGACTAGTTTTCGATTTTCGGAGCCTTCAGCCTCGTGTCTTGTCTCGGGACCGCTTAACGTTCTCCGTTTGGCACGGTTTTTGAACAACACCTTGTTTCCTTGGCCTAGAGGGCCACTTTGGTTTGGGAAACCACTTTTGTGGTCGTAAACCACTTTTGGTGCTTGTCAGCTAGTTTCCGAGGCTCTCGGCTGCGCGCTTTGCCTCCCGAACTTTCGTCTTGCATCCGTTTTGGTTTGTTTTTGGTACAAACCTTATTTTCCTTGTTTGGAAGGTGGTACAAGGGTGGGAGACCAGTTTTTTTCCTTAGAGATCACTTTTCTTCTCGCCAGCCAGTTTTCTGATCTGACAACTAGTCTCCTTGGTTTTTGAGCCATCTTTTCTGGTTGACAACCCCACCCCTGGCTTGTTTTCAGTGTGCAGATCATCTCCCACCAAAGCCGACCACTTCTTGTCTTGGGAGACCACTTGTGGTGGTCAGCTGACCACTTACAGTAGCTGGCCAACCACTTCAAGCGGTCAGCTGCTTTTTGCCACCATTTTGGTTCTCTATAAGAGAGAACCATCTCCTCCCTCCTCTAGGTTCAGAAAAAAGGGCTTGAGTGATACATATAGTTTTGTATCTATACTTCTTCATTTTGCTCTTGTTTTGTGTTCAAAAGTGTCATTTTGTCTTACTTTAACACACAAACACACACTCAAACACCATCATTTTGCCACTGAGGTGCTTAAGAGCTGGTTTTGGTGTTCTTGGGTTGGTTTGAGCTTGAAAAACCTGCTGGAGTTGCAGCCTTGAAGAAGTTCATCAAGGGTGAGTCTTTAACCCTTAAAACCCCCATTTTTGCTTAAGCTTTTGAGCCCTTTTGCATGTTGTTTTAGGACTAACTCTTAACTACAAAAAGTTTTGATTTTTGGTCCTTAAGATCTTTGTTTAAGGTCACTTTTGTGTTTGAGGTTGTTTACCCCCTCTTAGGCCTTGTTTGGCCTTGCTTTTGTGCCTTCTCTTTAAGCTTTGGGATCACCTTTGCATGACCTTTCTACCACTGAAATCCAGAGGACTATCTAGAGGATTTTTAGTGGTGGAGAGGAGGTTTTGAGTTCCCAAAAAGGAGAGGGTCATCCCCTCTCCTTGTGTCTTCAATACTTGTCTTCATTAGCCTCATGTGTGAGCATGTTTGTTAAGCTTATGTTGGTCATATCTTAGCTTCTATTTGTGGTTGTTTTGCTGTGGCATGCCACTATTTTTGCTTGGTATGGTCATCCCTTGCATGTTTTATACACTTGTAGTATAAATCTCACAAACTAGTCTTGTATGTTTCATGAGGTAGCATGTCATTCTAGCTTATGTTGAGTCCATTTCAGCATGTTCTTGGGCTTGTTTTACCATGTCATACATTTCTAGGGTTTGGTTTGGTCACCCTTTGCATGCTCCATACACTTGTGGTGTAATTCCATGAAATAGCCTAACATGCATCATGTTGTAACATGTCATTCTAGCATGCTTTAGGCTTAACTTGAAGAAGATTTTGTTCATGTTTTACCATGTTTAAGGTCTGATTTGTGTTGTCTTGGTCATGCATGCTATGCTTTGTATAGCTATAGTACATTCTAGCTTGTTAGCTTTGTGTATCAAGTCCACTAGCATGCCTTACTTGGACTATTTGAATGATTTGGCATCATTTATTATATGATTTCAGTCCATATTTCATGCTCATGCACTTGCATTTATCATTCATTCAATGCGTTGGAGGGTTGGCCCCTTTATGTCTTAATATGGGTCATTGCCTATGCCTTCATGCCTTAGCTTGTGGGCCATCATTTCAGTGATTATTTGGGGTTATTTTTCTATGATATAACTTTGATTTTTGTTGCTTAAATCATCCCATGCTTGGTCTTAATAGGTGTAGTGTAATCCACCTTATTTGCCTTGTATGCACCATGCCTTATGCCCTTCATGCTAGCTTGTTTTGGCTTTCTTCCATGTATGTTTTAGTATCATTTTGGTATGATCTAGGACTGTTTTAGGTTGCCTTTGCCATATCCTTCAAGCTTTGTATAGCTGTAGTGCAATTGGCCTTGCTAGTTTCGTGTTTTGTTGACTCATGCATGCTATCTTTGAGCTATTTAGATGATTTGGCATCATTTAATACTTCAAAAGCTTTTAGCATTGCCATGTTCCCACTTCATTCACTCTTTAAGTTTCTTTGAGTGTTGTGCATTGTTGCCTAGTTTATGGCTTAGCTTGTATGCTTGCATGCCTAGGTCTTTGAGCCCTCATCTCAGCATGTGTTAGGTCTATATTTTGACCTACTTAAGCTCTGTTTGTGGTTGGTTCATGCATATTTTTCACGTATTGCATGCCTCCTTTGTAGTCCTCTTTAATACCCTTCATGCTTTAGGACCTTTGCATGTTATACTTGAGCTTGTTTGAATGATTTGACATCATTTCTTACTTAATTTCAGTGCATTTAGTGTTGTTACACTTCCATGTTTATCACTCCTTGAGCCCTCTTGAGAGTTGTGCTCTTAGGCCTAGTTGGTTGGCCAATGCACTGTGCATGCTTACCTTCCCTTTTGTGCCTTTATTTTCATCATTATGGCCACTAATTTGGGCATGGCTGAGGCCTATCCATTTTGGTTTAAGTCCATTGTGTATTTTGTATGCCATGTTGTTCGCATATTGATTCATCGCATTGTATATGCCATATTGTTCTTAGCATTGTGCATTGTGCATGCCATTAGCCTTGTTAGGCTGTTCATGTTGCATTGCATGTTTGTATGCTTATTCCTTACATGTGGTTTGCATGCTTGTATTGTTGCATTGCATGTTTGCGTGCTTGAGTCGCATTGTGCATGCTATGTCACTACTGGAAATGAGGGTTTTAGCGGCGTTTTTTAAACGCCGCTAAAGGTCACAAAAACGCCATCAAAAACTTTTGTGACGTTTAGCAGCAAATGCCGAAAGATGTGGCCGTCGCTATAACTGTGTGACGCTTTTAGAAACATCTCTATACTACTATAGGCGGCGTTCAATGCCGCTAAAAGTTATATTTAGTGACGTTTTTAAAATGCCGTCTTATCTCTTTTCACCAAAGAAAAATCCAACCGTTTAGCGACGTTTTTAGAAACGCCGTGATAGCCCTTTTTTCTAAAAAAAAAAAATTGTGCTGATTTTATGTTATTGAACTAAAAAAATACCGATAATAAAACTAAAAAATAGCACTAATATGAAATAATAACTCTCATTCACATAGTAAAATCTTATCAAATGATAGTCCACAATCATTGTGCAAAAAAAAAAAATATTCACACACAAATCATTTGAACAACATTAAGGAGTCACCAAAATAGGATGCCCCTCTATTTGAGCCAAAATAGGAATCTGGGCATTTAAGCCAACTCAAGATATTCATATTCTCATTCACAATAATCACATTCACATACAAATCCTTTTCCTACCATATCAACCTAGTTCACCAAAATAGGATGCCCCTTTATGCAGTGTCATGTGTCTCTGCAATTACATTGGGAATCTGAGTTTTGTTGACTTGTAATCTAGCCTCTTCATCTTTGTCTCCGATGCACTTTTTCCATTTATCTCTGTTGTTCCCTGAACTTAAAAACATGTATACAATTGGGGGGAGAGAGAGAGAGAGAAGTTGATATCAATAATCATAAACAATAGAAAACAATTATCCATAAACAATTAATTCTCAACAAAAGACTAATTCTCAACAGGTAATTATAACAGTGAAATGGAAATATAAGCTACAAATACTAATTCTCAACAAAAGAAAATTTCATAAAGAAAACAATCATCAATCCATATTGATATCAGTAATCGTAAAGTTCAATATAAAACATATATCCATATATCCATCACCCAATAGGACATTAAGCTAGCAAGTTTGCAACAGCATATCTCATTCCAATTTTGCACCCACTTAATTCCAAGTACGTCAAATTCAAGACTCAAATCTGCATATATATATATATATTAGCCATTTCTAATAATGCTTCCTTTCTTGATACTATTGCTATGCACAATACTATTGTCTATCCACCAAACAATTCACCATTTCCCTCACAAGGCAGTAACAAAAGTGCTGCAATGTCCAAGTCTAACGATTTTTTTAATTGAGAGATAGATTTAAGAGATATTAAATGATAGCCGAAGAGATATCTATGAAATTAACCCAAAATATTATGTTCTAATACAGTGATTTGATGATAGAGACAGAGAGTACGGTGTATTTCCAAACAAGCTAGTCAAAAGGAAGAAGAAGACAAATAAAAAGAGTCCTTTATGTGTATTTAAAAAGCAATCAAATTCAGATTTCAGATTAACATAATACAAATGAAGTAGTACAAACCAATTGGGGGATACTAGAGCCAAAATTCTAGTAGTTGTGACAGATTTGCGCTGATAAGGTTTTCCTATGCAAGGCTTAGGCTCATATAGTATAGTAGTAAGAAAGGCTAGGCATTATAAAGGTGAACATAAACTTTTGACATGCACATATACTTTTTAAATTAGCATTGAAGATAACATCTAACAAGCTTTTAAAAATTAAACACCTGTTTTAACAAGATTTTAGCTTCCAAAAAGTAAATTTTATTTCTTCTCTCCCACACACCTATAGAGGGATTTTGGGAAAGGAAGAAAGAGAAGAAAAGAAAAGGACAGTACCCATGAAACCAAAACATAGGTATACACACAGAACTCATTGTGGTATCATATACAAATAAACTTACTATGAAGCATACATTTTGGCAACTGGGTGAACCCATTTCAATCACTTATTACAATGATTTGGAGGATTAGTAGAAACCAAGATTTTGTACCTGAAGTTTGCCAAGGTGCCATGCTCCAGAAATGCACACCACCTCAAGTGTTTTGTCATGCATGGACTGAAGATTGAAATCATCGTCATGCTCATAATCATTTTGCCAAAGATTAACTCCACCCATATAGCTGCCTATGTTGAGCACAATTAAACCCTCGACATCCTGGAAGAAAAGTTAAAAGGAAAAAATTTAAAAATAGTCCAATTGAAAAGGAAACCAGAACAGTAAAGAAAGAACACCTCTGTTGCAAGGGTGCTAATGGTTGTATCCTTCACATCCCTTAGCAAGTGCTCAACCTTGTTGAAGTAATTTGATTACAGAATTAGCCATATGGACATGGAGAATACGTGGCAGACAACATTCAGCTATGGTCGAGCGTTAAATATCTTCCTTTGAGGTGGTTGGGGTAAATAAATGCCCTTAAGGCCATCCAGAAGGGACAAATTCTTCAGGTTGTAAAATTTAAACTTTTAAATAAGAACTAAAACAAGATAAAAAGAAAGACAGTTACCTCGATATAGAGGCCACTATCCTGTTTTGTTCCTGAAACATACCAAAGGTTTTTTAATCACAAAATTCAAGGAACATGCATAACAAAAAAATGACAAGGAATAACATAGACCATAATATACGTCGACCAAAGTACCAGATAAATCACTACATTACAAGCTTAAGTTTAAATAGGACCTCATCTCTTTCTGATAGCATCGAAATGCTAAATCGCTGTGGACATGGATGACCATTTTGAAGAACAGGTTGTCACTAGATACAGAACCAGTTTTGTGAAAGTTATGGTAACACTTAAAAGCAGCAGGAAAACGCCTCTCTCTCATCAAACGAATCATTTCTTGGCTTGAACAAAAACTTAAGGTTAATATTATAGGAAATGAAGAATTCTAAGTCAGAAACAAATTCTACAATATTAGATGCATCATACCCAAAGACAACCACAAAATATACAAACACCAAATGCAAATATTAGACATCAATCAAATCTTAAAAGCAATATTAAACAATAATGTCTGATAAGCTCAATAAAATTGTTATAACTCAACAGACAGTCACTTCAAGAACCAATAGACCAAATAGCAGATAACATTACAAAGCCATAAAGATCAAGTAGTTTATGAAACAGATATAACATTATCTAAGCAGATTATGAAACTATTATAGGAAAAGTAAATTCATACTTCAGAAAAATCTGCAAAAAGTATGGCCTGACCTGCAATTTAGTGGTAGAAAAATCAGCAGGATGTGCTTGTAAAAATTTTGAAAGAACAGATTGATCAGCATTTCTAGAATGTGAATCAGTTGCACCATTTCCAAACCAGTCTAAATAATCAGGGCAGAAAGAAGTCCCAACACTCTCAAGAAGAGCTTTTATTTGCTGCAATTGTATTGTCAGAATCAAATTACTTCTCCCTAATGTAATCAACAGTAATTCCAACTTGTCCCTTCTCGATAATGTACAATCCCAAGAAAGCCTCATCCTTCATACACGGAAAAATGTAAGGGAAGGAAGATTAAAAAAAAATAAGACATTTAATTCGAAATAGAATATTTACCCGATCAGCTATTATCTGCCCATCAGAAAAGGAAACTTCAGAAAGAGATTCTGCAATGTGACTCAGCTGTAAGATTGTCAACCTCGAGAGCAGATCTACTGATCGAAGTAACTTCAATGATGATAAATTTGAAAATTCTAACGTAAGAATTCCTCGAAAATCTTCCCTTTTTAAAGCCCAAAGAGTTCCACTTGTCACAGCACGGACAGAGGCCTGGAGTGGTTTGTTATTCCTAAGTGAAATGTACCGGAGGAAACCACATACAGTAAGAATGAAACTACCATGGTTAACATTAACAAATTCAAGGAAATCATGATCCTAAATGTTCACAATAAGTCATGAAATGAACCATGTTTCTTAGAAAATAATTATGGATCTAAGATCACCATAGTTGTGTTTGTCTGAGAACACTAGAAATAATCCTGATCAAAACATGTCTGCACTCATTTCTGATTTAAATTATGCTGGACCTTTTGATCTTAGGTACCAATAAAGGGTATGTAAAGTCAACCCATCAATGATTAGGTGGGATCCACAAATGTAGTGGCTGATGATTCGCTTTCGCTTATTCAAAGGGCTAATTATTTATACACCATTTTACTCATTATGTAAACCTGAACGGCATTTTTGGAAAATATGATACTGACACTTAAATCCAGATACAGGAAAATTATTAATGGAGAGAGTTTTATTCGTTTAAGTAAACATGAACGACATTTATGGAAAATATGCTACTGACAATTAAATCCAGATACAGGAAAATTTAATGGAGAGAAAGAGAACTCACATTAGTGCCAGCTCTCCAAATGATGATAATCTTTCAGCTGTACACAGATGCAGAACCCATGGAACCTCTCCATCTTTTTCTTCCTGCTATTTATGATATCTTATTAACATTGTAACTGAAGAAATTTACAGGGAATAAGCTGCAACATAAAATCAGAAATATTCTCCTCCAGAAAACATGTATTTCATAAGAAGACAACTATTGGTCTAAGACAACTAGGAATGTCATTTACTGAACATTTCAGAAGACAATTTTAAGAATCAAATAAAAGATATCATATGAGTTCACATCCACAATGTTGCTTTGACTTGGGTCACTAACCTTACAAGTGCAGTGGACCCCTTGCCCATTTCCCCTGACTAATTGCATCTTTCAACTCATTATATGAGTTCACATCCACAATGTTACTGCAGAGGAATTATAAATGTGTTAAGGGTATTATCCGAACAATATACCAAAATTCAACAAATACAAAGCAAGGAAAACAAACTATCAAACATAGCAGAAAGGCAAAGATTTGGTGAACAAATTCAAAGGACTGAAAGATGGGAAGCAAGAATACAAACTGTCCAATACAGAGAAGAGAGGCAAGTAGTCAATGTACCATGCTTAAGGAAACACAATTTTGACTTCAAACCTCGTATGTGCTGACTACATAGATCCATTATGTAATCAAGCAAGTATATGATCCAATCTAACTAGATCTAAAGCAAGTATATGATCCACGCTTTCACTTAATTGATTCAAAAGCTTCACAAAAGAAATCAAGGAAATATGCAATACACATTCTACCTGCTTTGTAGAAGCTCCAGACAACAGAAGATCAGTTGTTACCATTCTCGGCTGCAGCCAACAAGAGGGAAAATTATGTAACAACGCTTTCACTTGATTGATCCAATGACCCATTACCAATGACACAAGTCCAAAAAGCATTAGCTCTGCCAAAAGGTAAAGGCAAGACATATTTGAGATGAATGAAAACAACTTTGAAACGCTATTAGAGATCATTGTCCATTTAGGACATATTTGTTAGTATGGATTAGATTAGATGAAATTAATGTCTGTTAGCTTTAGAATTATTGATCTCTTTAAATTGTGTATTATATCCCATGTTTTGATTAACTTATGATTATGAGAAGAAAAATGTTAAAAACAGTTTTAAAGCCTATTAGTAGGGTTATGTGTGAACACACTATCCGGAACTTGCTACAAGATGTAATATTTTCCACGTTAAGTTCTATAAATTACCAAGAAAATAATGAAAATGTCCGAGTTCATTACCTCAGGCTTGAGGTCACGGTGAACTACACCTTGGAGATGACAGTAGGCAACCACACTCAAAATCTGTACCACGACAGCCTTTGCATCTTCTTCCGAGTATTTTCCACCTCTAGAGAACATAAATCAGAAATTTATATATCTCAAATCTTGGTTACAGGAAGTGATTCTCTGGTAAGAGCAGACTGCAAATGTCAGAGACATTAAATATCTCAAACCCTGGAAAGTAAATTATTTTGAAGAAATCTCTGGCTCTTTAAATCGTAATGAAGTTGTAAGAGCTAAGAACTTGAGGGTTAGATGTAAAATTTTGTTTTCATAGACTTTATCAACTTCCACTAGATGCAGAACTCTGAAGACTGCTTACAACACCGATCCAAGCAAAAGAAGTGCACAACAATTTTTTTATTTTTTATTTTTTTCAACTAGACTGTGTATGTAAAAGTTGAGATAACTCATATTTTGGAGTGAATCACATACCTGATCAATTTTTAGAGGATCTCCTTCAAGAAGGCGTGCATCAGCAGGTACAATGTCCCCAAGTTTGATGCTTACTATGTCACCAGGAACTAACACTGAAGCATCTTCCCCACTCCACTTCCCGTCACGCAGGACCTGGTAGGAGTAATTAGAGAGTCAAATATAAGTCATTCCCTTACTTATGTTGAAAGTTCAAGAGAAAAAAAAGGAAATAGAAATAGAAAACAAAATTTTTGGATCTGTATTTATTCGGGAAGAGGGAAACCTTGGCTTTTGGAGCTAATCGAGCCATAAGAGCAGCAGCCGCATTGCCAGCATTATTTTCCTCAATAAAACTGATGGTAGAGTTGATAATGAGCAAGATCAAGATGCCAAAGAAGTCATGATAATCTGTGCCCTTATGCTGCACAAAATAAGGTTTGTCAGTATGGAATAATCTTAAATTGTCTTGCGCGCGCGTACATATAATAATGAAGCTTTGACTAAACACTACAGGAAAAAGAGGTTTAGGTGGCGTTTTTTTAATGACGCTTTTTAAAACGTCACTTTTATTAGTATTTAATGACGTTTTATAAAACGTCACATAATTCTTTATTTAAAACGACACCGTTTTATAATTGGAGGCGTTTAAAAACGCCTCCAAATGTGGTGTGCTTCACGCGCTTCCTCTCTCACTCTTTTCAAATTCTAATTTTGAATCTGAGAAATATTATGCCCAAATCTCCACAGCGCTCTCTCTCTCTCTCTCTCTCTCTCTCTAAGCCCTTATCATTCTCAGAGCGATTTCGAGATTCAGAGGCTCCACCGCCATCACCATCTGCACCGGCGAGGTAGGTGAGCTCTCTTTCTCTCTCTAAATCTCTCTCTCTCTATTTCTCTCTCTCTCTCTCAACCCTCTCTAAACTCTTATCATTCGCAGAGATTCAGATCGGTCTTAGTGATTTCATCTCAGAGCGATTTCGATTTCGATTTCGAAGCTCCACCTCCACCACCATCTGCACCATCATCTACTAAGGTGAGCTCCGCCGTCTCTCTCTCTCTCTCTCTCTCTCTCTCTCAGTTTCCTCTCAAATTACTTCAAATTTTTTGTGGCTTCTCTTCTAATGATCTGAATCTTGTTTTTATTTTTTCATAGTCAAGTTTAAGCTCCTTTCCCCTCCCCTGTCATGTTTAGTTTTTAAGTGTCTTGTGGTGCAATAGAATCTTTTTTAGAGGTTACACTGATCAGATGGTGGAGGATGCAAATGCTGTTATATTGACTTTTGGTTCTTATCGACTTGGTGTACGCATATTTATGTTAGCTTTTGTCTCTTTGGGGTGTGAGTTTTTTTTATTTATTTTTTTTAAAAATAATTTTCTAGTTATCTGAGATTGCTAGACAGACTGAGTAGAGGTCACATAAACTGTGTTGCAAGGTTAAAGTTGAGAATTTTCAATTCAGTGCATATGTAGGATTTAGATTCTAGAGTTTAGTATTACAGATTTTTAACATTTTATTAGATAAGATTGGAGGATCCTCTACTGGAGTGTTTGCTTCCAAGGTAATTTCCTGTTTATTTTTGTGTGCTGTATTGTTACGATTTTCTAAAATTCTAGGTCCTGTGTGTTTTCCTTTCCATAGATCACTCAAGCAAAGGATGGGAAACCAGTCACTATTGAGCTTATCGATGCCAAGACAAAAGAACCGAAAGATACCTCGGAGATAATTTTTAGTTCTGTGATATTGGTAGCAAATTTCATGTTCTATTAACAGAGCGGCGAAATTAAAAGGTCCTTTCCTTTGTGGATGTAATCAAGTAGTGGAAATTGAGGTTTTTATTGTATTTTTGCTCCCATGTAACAATGGTTCTCTCCTTTATGGAGTAAGCTTGAAAACCCAATTTGAGACAACAACTGACTTTTCTACCTTACTTTCTGTCCATGCTTTTTTATTTATCTAGTTTGTTGTACCGCACCCTTTATCACAAAATTCGGTTGTTTTGCTACAGGTAGATGTGGCATTAATTGCAACTGGAAGGGTTCCGTTTACAAAAGGTCTTGGACTGGAGAATGTATGTCGTGTTAATTGATAATATGCATGAGACAATGCTGAAGTGTTGTATTGGTTTTTTTGCAGATCAATGTAGTGACACAACGGGGTTTTGTTCTAGTAGATGAGCATATGCAAGTTATTGATGCAAATGGAAACCTGGTTTGTTATCTATAGATTCCGTCATGAACACAATTTTCTGTATGGTTTTGCAACTGGTTCTTGAAACAATACTTCTACCATTTGGTTCCTCACTTGTATTGTATTGATGATGCAAATGAGAAAATGATTCTTGCTTATGCTGCCAGTGCACAAGGGATTTCTGGTATGTGGTTATTACCTTGCTATTTGCTACTTCAGGCTATATGCACCTGGTATGCAGATTTTCATAATGTCAAATATGCTTTATGTTTTTGTAAGAGGGTCAGAAAGGTTTAAACTTATTAATGGGTAATCTCTCTATGCTGGTATAGTTGGATCTTTATTTGTTGTCTCAAAAATGAAAGGAGTTGCTTATGCTGCCAGTGCACAAGGGATTTCTGGTATGTGGTTATTACCTTGCTATTTGCTACTTCAGGCTATATGCACCTGGTATGCAGATTTTCATAATGTCAAATATGCTTTATGTTTTTGTAAGAGGGTCAGAAAGGTTTAAACTTATTAATGGGTAATCTCTCTATGCTGGTATAGTTGGATCTTTATTTGTTGTCTCAAAAATGGAAGGAGTTGCTTATGCTGCCAGTGCACAAGGGATTTCTGGTATGTGGTTATTACCTTGCTATTTGCTACTTCAGGCTATATGCACCTGGTATGCAGATTTTCATAATGTCAAATATGCTTTATGTTTTTGTAAGAGGGTCAGAAAGGTTTAAACTTATTAATGGGTAATCTCTCTATGCTGGTATAGTTGGATCTTTATTTGTTGTCTCAAAAATGGAAGGAGTTGCTTATGCTGCCAGTGCACAAGGGATTTCTGGTATGTGGTTATTACCTTGCTATTTGCTACTTCAGGCTATATGCACCTGGTATGCAGATTTTCATAATGTCAAATATGCTTTATGTTTTTGTAAGAGGGTCAGAAAGGTTTTGGTGATTTATCAGTCTCACATCGCACATTGTGAGATTAGATTCAGAACCGTGACATTGAGTCCGAACTGTAGTAGCTCAGAGAACAAGACGAGATTCGTGCCGCCTCGCCGCGCTCGCGGATGTCAGGGAGTTCTCCCGGGAGCGCGTCTACACACACACTCTTCCAATCCATTTGAATCCTTTTTCTAAGTTGTTTCTATAGGCGAAGCATTGGTGAAGCCCAGAACCTGAGCAATGTACGAAATTGGGACTGTAGGGAGACATGAACGAGACACGCATCTTACAGCAGTGTACCGCATCTTCTCAGCATAAAGATCTGTAGTGAAAGAAAAATATTTTATTATCTATTTGTGTTACTAACCCATGGAAGTTAGAATAACAATATGTATAACCACTCAAGAATTCATAAAAGTTGAGCCAAAACCATGCCAAGTTTTTCCTGACATATAATAACATGAACCCAATCCATATCTTTTTTAAATATCAATTTTCAGTTATACATGACATTACCATCAGCATCACCATAATTTCCGACAACAAAAAAAAGCTGATAAATTGACCAGGTTTCAGGTGTTTAGGACATAATTCCTCGATTTTGATTTCATGAGGTCTAATATTATCTAACAAGATGAAAATATAGACCAGATTTCTTCAATTGTTTCTCAAATGGGGTTTACTTTTCTTTTTTTTATATTATTTATCAAGTAAGTCAGAAGAGAAAAGATAAACCAACTCTATTTTGAGCATCCAGTAAGTCATATATTTTGATTGATTAGAGTACGTTTCAACCCCCATGTAGTTGGGATAAGGCATCGTTGGGTTTGATTAGGTTTTAGACATTCATTCAATAGTCTACTATCAAATTTTCAAAATAGTCTTACGTTAACCATCAAGTTGCTGAAATGAAATGTCTTACCAAAAATGAAAAGAAATTAAATTCCGTACCAAACAATGCATTGAAAAGCAATACTATTGTCAATAGTTTTCCGAAGTACTCACATCGAAATTCCACTTTAGCAAAATTCAATGGTTTTCTTCAGTGCATCTAACTTGGGCACAAAAATATCTATGATTTGATATACAAATAAGTCAACCACCCACACATAACTTTTCATGACAGTTCAAGGTATTAAATAAAAAGCCAAGTACAAAACACAATTTAAAATTTAAATTTAGTCTGCAACAAATCAACAAAATTATCAGTGATTGTAACCAACACAATGTAACAACTCCGAAAGCAGCAATGATATAATAAGAGATTGACAAACAAGATCAATGAGTAATAACACAAATGCAAGATGGATGTGCTAACCTTGACATTGCTGATACCAGATCTCTGCTATTGTTGGCGTGCAAGACAACACAGTAAATTGTAAGCAGAAAATTCCATGTGGCACCCCTTATTCCCTCCGCATAAAGTGTTTTCAACTGTGATTGACACTGCAAATTAGATGGAAGAAAGTCAGCCAATGCCTCTAATCAACATGAACATTTAAATGAAATCAACATTCAATTTACTAAGCTCCATAAACAATTCTAAAAGAAATTGCCCTAGTTCCAACAACATATGTTGAACATGTATCTCATACCCTTACTAAAGTAGTGTCCTGGCACGAGTACATTATACATTTAGAAGAGTTCATAGACTACAACTAAAAGCCAAATTTGAGACATGAGTTTCAACATTCAAATAATAGAAATTTTCAGGTTTAAAAACTGGAAGTTGTTATCATCCTATTCTCCACACAAAATAATGCCTATAAGAATCCTACAGAAGAAGGGAGGCATGATGCGAGAAGCAGTCCTGGAACCTACACGATAGGTTAAATTGGTTTTGATCATGAACAATGAACACCTATAGATGCAATGACAAAGAAGATGTAAATTGACATGGGATGTAGTAGTAAAAAAGGCAATGAATTTATTTAATTTAACTAAGCATATAACCCTTAACATAACGAAATTGTAAAAAGGATTTATGTAGCTAAACCCACTTAATTTGAACACATGGCTTAGTTTGGTTTTAATTTTTTTTTTTATTCATTTTCCATGTATATATATTCTAGTAATTAAGATGGGCTATGGGGGACCCCTTTGGACAATGAGGGCTTTTATTTCATAGGGTTTTTAGATGAGGAGTTTATTTTGTTTTGACTTGGTCTTTCAACAAGAAGTGTTTTATTCTGCCTTTATTATTGGGGCCTGTGAACAAGGAAGGTTTTTAGTTTGTTGGAACTTCGGACAGAGAATTTTATTTTTTATAAGTTTATGGATAAGAACTATTTTATTTTATTGAGCCTTTGGATAGGGTGTTTTTTTTATTTATTTTGTAGAGCCTTCAAACAAGAAGATTTTTTTTTTACTTTTATTTTAATTTTGGATAAGATTTATTTTATTTTATTTGGGGCCTTGAAATAATTGGGGATCTTAGGCAAGCAACTATCTCGCCTAAGTGATGGGCCAACCCTGTGTTGGCTACGTAGGATACAAGCAACTAAAACAACTATTACCTAGCCTCAAAAAGAACAAATTATAAATGTAAAACAGTAGAACAAATTAACAAGGGGCAAATTAACAAGCCACACCAACTGGGACAGTTTCAAAGTTAAAATGGTAATATCAAAGCAGGTATTTACCTGATTATATTCTGCCAAGTCTCCAACTTCTATTGCCAAACGAGCATGAGTTTCATAAACCTGAAACAAAAGTATGAACACTGTAAATATTTTTGAGGTGCCATTCATCAAAGAATTGGGAATCTAATTCATTATAGAAAAAGGAAGATGGTTCTTTCTGTGAGGCTAAATAAAGATATTCACACTACATAAAAGTGAAACACAGAACCTCCTATGTGCAAGAAGAAATAACGCACTCCATGTAGCACAGTTATCTGAACAGTATGGGATATCTTTCTCGGTGCATGGTGATAGGATGAAGGGGCGTAGGGAGTTGGTTGGCCACTACGGTGGTGGAGAAGGGGGAAGGACTGTTGCAGCAGCAGCAACGTGGAGTTGCTTTGTTGCGTAGCGGAACAAAAAGAAACGAAAAAAGGGAGAAAAATGGGGAAATTTGTAGCTTTAGATTACAGAATCATAAAAATTAATATGATTTGTTCATATATTAAACATCATCTTTGTAATTTTTAATAAATTACAGCCTCATACATTAAATTTTGAAAAAACCTTGAACATCATCTTTGAAAAAACCCTAAACATCATCTTTGCAAATTTGAATCAAAGTAACAATTTCAGAAAAGGGAGAAACAGAGAAAGGGAGGGGGAGACAGACAGAGAGACAGAGACAGAGACAGATTGTGAGTGAGAGAGCTCGAGCAAGAGAGAGAGATAGAGAAGCCTGCAATACGTGTACAGAGCATTATATATACATAGACACACACATATTAAACATCATCTTCGCAAATTTGAATCAATTACAGCCACATATTTGAATGAACCCTACAACAACAGTGCTAGAAAATGGAAAATTAGTAAAAGGGAGAGAGAGAGAGAAAGAGAGAGAGAGAGAGAGAGAGAGAGAGAGAGATTGTATGAAAGAGCTTGAGCGAGAGAGCGAGAGGCGGACGCACAGAAAAACCGAGAAGGAGACCGCAAAAGAGAGAGAGAGAGAGAGAGAGAGAGAGAACCTGTGATGTGCGCTATGATGGTGGTGATTTGCGCCAGGGGCAGTGGCTATCGCAATGTCACCCGTATGGTAGACTACGGTGAGGGGGTGATTTCTATGAGGTTTGGTGAGATGTGTGTGTGATACACTATTGTGAAGTTGTGTTGCCTAACAGAGATCAATGCACGCGCAGCAAATAAAGGAATTGGCGCGCGTTGAAATTTCAACCTTTAGCAACTAATGTGCTTTTTTGTTGGCAAAGGAATAAATTATGCCGACTAACTACTTTTGTAGCCAAATATCACTCAACAACAACGAAAATATTAGTCGCTAAAAGTCCTATTTAGCGACTAATTTCTATTTTAGTCGGGAAAAATCAATATTGTCGATTATTTTATTTTTTTTGCCTAAAATGTGAACTAACGGCGACTAATATCCTGTTTAGTCGCTAAAAGTGGAATTGTTGCCGACTAAATTTGAATTCATGGCTTACCCCCTAATTAAAAATGTTCCCAACTGGAGCAACAAAAGTGTCATCAACAATCTTTGCAACAATTATAAGCACTTACTTCTTGTTCAACCCTTTTACCTTCAAAGTCTCAATAGCCCACCGAAGATGTGCATAGGGATCAATACTTGCTCCAACCTTATTCTTGCCACTTGTTTCAGCTTGGCCAAGGGATTGGGTGGCTATATCGAAGCAAGGCCCATTTGTTATTGATATGTCATCACCCAGACTTGAGACAGCTTCGGGTTGGCCCTTTCCAACAACCCGCCCCAAGATTGGGGAGCTTTTTTACGTGAAATTTTTGGCATATGATGTGGTGATGATGGAGTGAAGACCCCAAAGGCTAAATTTGCCATAGTTCTCTGAAAATCTTCAATCATGCTCAATAGCTCAGAAATAGCAGGTTCCGGCATTGGTGCCCACAGTGTATTTGAACCAACTTGGTCTTGATGAATTGGTTGGGTTGGACTCTTTGGAGTAGGTTGGATTGGAATTGGGCTATTGTGGAGTTCGAGTTCAAATTTTGTGGTTTGAGATGATTGGGGTTCAAGTGCATCCATCATGCACAAGTTCGTGCTTTCTGGAATGAATACCTCAAGCTTAGGTAAATAGGCTGGGGTGATATATATATATATTGGGGTTGAAGGTAGGAGGTAGTGTATGGATGAGGTTAAGGTAAGGAGGAGGTACTTGGTCATAGATGGGAAGTGGGTTGGTGGTAACATTGGGTTCTTGAGGTAGAGCTATCGTCTGGTTGTCGATAAGATTCTAAACCTCATGACAAAGGTAGTTGTGATAACTATGTTCCCTATTATGCTAATTGGTCCTTATTACGAATGTGATTATGTATTTGATATGATTTTGTGTGCCATTATGTGAAGATATGTGGTTTTGAATTTCTATCTGTTCACCGTAGGAATATCTGTTTGATTATTTGCTTTGAAATTTAAATTGAAGGCCTTATCAGCCACAGAACCCGAAATTGATTACGCTATTGTGATGAACGTGATTTTTAGAGCCTACGGTGAAATTTAATTGGAAATTGATTCGGGTCAAATTAAATAGATTAAATTAATGAAATGGTGCCCAATTATTTTATATTAAAGAAATGTATTTGAGGGAAATTATATTAGTGGGGCACTATGCACTCAATTCCCCCTTTTAGCTTCAACTTGGCTGATTTAACTCTAAGAAAAGAGAGGGAGGTTTGGCTAGAGAGAGAGTGTGTAGGAGATTAAAAGTTTGATCTTGAAGCTTGATAATTTGGAAGACCAACTCAAGATTTGACCATAAATTGGGAAGATTGAGCTCCTAGGTGAGTAATCAACCCTTAGCTCATGAATTTGATTTGTGATTCTATGAATTGAAGATTAAATAGTGATCTAGAACATGAGATGAGTTGGTTTTGATGAATTTGAAGTCCATATGTGCATGCATGTAAAGAATTCCTATGAAATTACATAATCTAGAATGTAGTATGTGAATTATGAAAGATCGTGAGTTGAATCATACATGCAAGCATGTTTTTGTTGAGTTCCATGAGAATAAACACCATTTGCATCATTTGAAATAGAAATGAAGTCAAAATTAGCATGCATGTTTGAATATTAAAGATATGGAGCTTGTATGAGGTTTGAAGACATGAGTTTGAATTATACAAAAGAAATGTTGATTAATTTTGAAGATCGGCCATAATTTCGAGCAATTGGCTCCATATTGTTTGTGTGCTCATGCTATATATTGTGTTTCTCCATTTTGGTACCTTAATTCAAGCTTTGGAGCCTTTGAATGTCAATTTGAGCTCAAGAACACATTCTCGCCTTGACGCCTGGACTCTTGTCTTACATCCTTTTTGGTTTATTTTTGGTACAAACCTTGTATTCCTTGCTTGGAGGGTGGAATAAGGGCGGGAGACCAGTTTTTCTCCCTGAAAACCACTTTTCCTGCCTGTCAGCCAGTTTTCTGGTCGGCCAACTGGTTTTCTTGGTCTTTAGCTCCTTCCTTTCGGGAGCCGGCCTGGCTCTTTAATCGGCGCCGGGAGTAAAGCATTATCC